AAAATCTGACAATTTGAGAGAACCTTGAGTTCTAGGCATGTTTTAGCACAAGATAATTAGTGTGCGGACCATTTTCATTTGTATAGTGTTATGTGAACACAAATTAGTTAGCATAAATAAGCTAAATGACGAAATATTAGGCGTCTATTTACTTGTGACCACTCAGTGTATTTTTACCGTAGCGCATCTTCCGTATCCTACACATGTCCAGCAGTTATCTTTTTGTCTTTACACGTTATTACACTTCTTCATTACCTTTCTGTCTATGATATCGGTAACAGAGACTACATAAAAACGTTTGTGAGCTATACATAAGATTGTTCATTTTCTTCTCAAATAAAACTAGGATATAAAATAAGATGTTTGCCACAGCCAAGTTACCTTCTACTCCCCCGCCCCCTCCAAAAAAAGAGAATAAATTGACAAATCAGTTTTTGTTGAACACATTGTGTTTTCATTGTGTATGTATTTATAACTAGTCTTTGGTTTGTTTTGAATTTCGCTCAAAGACTAGCCGTTCCTAATTTAGCAGTGAAACACTAGACAGAAGGCAGATAGTTATCACCAACTCTTGGGATACTCTTTTACCAACGAATAGTGGGATTGGCCGTCCTATTACAACACCCTCACGGCTTAAAGGGCGAGCATGCTTGGTGGGAAGGGGATTCAAACCCGCGACCCTTAGGTTGCGAGTCGAGCGCCCTAACCACCTGGCCATGCCATGCTAGGCCAGCTAGTCTTTTAAACGCTAAGAGTGTATTATAATATCTCAAAAGCTTGCTGTAGTGAATGTTTCACCAAATTCTTTTGTTTTTCAACTTAGACTGTAATCTTGCTATGGTTTGGACTATAAAGCAGAAACAAGTTACACATAACAACAGTGGTGCATTGATCTTATAACTAAAGAATTTTAATCATAAACTAACAATACGCCATGAAAATCATTTTCAAGGAATACGAACCTTTTTCATTCCAAATTAAAATGTAATCTAATATAAAATATTTTAATTGACAGTTACTATTTTAAGAGAAATTTTAAAATTCTTCTCGTCGTGAGAAAGTGCTTTTAATAATACAAGTTTTTATCAGTTGTTATAATTGGCTTGTGTTCAAATAATTTACACGTTTCTGAATTTCCAAGAAATAACACTATATATTGCTTTTCCTCCTTAAAAAAAACAACAATAAGAACGGATTATTTCAGAGAAATAAACACCTTCATAATGCACTTTGCATATAATTTAAGTCAAATAATTTCAAATAATAAGAGTACTATTAAAGGCAGTTTTTTTTATATCTTCAACTGATAAAGTTTTGTATGTAAAAGTTCACAGCGTATTCAACGACCTTGAAGTTTAACTCAAGGGCTTAAGTTTATTCTAATAACCATTTCACTTCCTACCCCTTCCCCTTTTTTGATTCCACCAACCAGTGATACGAATGTCATTGTTGTCAGAAGGTCTTTCCTTTGGAGTTTTTCAAGAGGACAGTTGTTGATTACTCCATACAAGTAACAAGGCGCATACATTAAACCATTTATGTTGCATGTTTTTGAATCATGTTATTAATATTTTTTTCTACAACTCTTAAGACAAAAAGCTCGAGAAAGCGGCACGAGCTTAGAAAGTGTGCGATTTAGCGAATGACTGAATGAAAGGACGTCTCCATTAAAGATGGGCGCGGCAATGGGTCAACGCTCAGAATCTGATGACGTGCCTTGCATATTAAAGTACTTTCCAGATGCCTAGTTCCGGCATGGAGCCCAGTATATAGCAAACCGGACTAGAGAACCTACCCAACATGCTGAGGACAAGCAGGATAGTGTTTGCCTCTCACTGTGTATAATGCTGGTTTTCTTGCCGTTTAATTCAGCCTTACTTAAAGCCATTGACCTCAAGGTTGAGGAAAAATGTACAGTATTTTTTCTAAGAAGGTTGATTGGGTTCAAAGGTAGGGCATACAGTTTGCTCTTCTTCGGCCATTGCCATTAAATCCAAAGAGTTCAAAAATCCTGATAGATTTAGAGAATTTTTCGAAACACTTGTGTTTTTATAAACATATTCACAAGCCTAATGGTTAGTGTAATCCATAAAATAAAAACAGACAGAGAACCAGAGGTTAATTGACTTGTGTTTTTTATCTATTACTAATTTTGGTAAAAGATTTTTGTAAAACTAAATTACACAAATGTGGCATGGTGTGACAAATTATTTTAAAATAAACTTAGAAATAAGTTAAGAAGTAGAAGTTAATAAACACAATAAAATAATAAATTTAGTTATATTTTAACATTTCAAAAGTTTACTTATAGTTAATGTTTAACCAATTTTTTTTGTTTCCCAATCTAGACTGTCAACATGTTTTTATTTGATAAAAAAAGCGAGTAGTTTTCTTTGGGATTTATAAATAAAGTGTGTTTCAAAAAAAAGGTTAAGATTATTTTCAAAATGTAACATAACTGTGATTGAAGGATACTGTGATGTGATGAATGAAGCATTAAAGTAGAGTATAATAATTCTTTGCACTTTAATAAAATTTGGTAACATTAAAATTTATTATTATTCAAATTCTAATGTACTATTGTATTACTTATTTTCCTTAAAACATATTTATATTTTTTAGAATTAAATTAAACTCTATCAGATTTTTCCGACGATGCTTTGTTTTTCAATAGAAGTTTCGAAAAAGAAAATAAAAACACCTAATTTATAAGTTATTGATTAATTAATTTGTGTTTATTTCTATGTAGGATTTGTTGCAGAATAATGATAAGTAATTATCAATATGTTAGAGAGAGTAATTCCAATTGAACATCAGTTTTTTATGTTGTTGAAAAAGGAATAAAAAATAACGACATGAAGTTCAATGTATTTGCGAAGTTGTTTATGGTTCAAAGCACCCTGGGCACGAAAAAACAACCGGAAGCTTAACTCCTGCCCTACTTAGCAACAGAGTCGTTGCATTGTTGTTTGTAACATGGGCGTGTGTTAGTTACGCATAACAATCAACTATCTTATTGTTCGTTCCTGATGTTTATAGATTTAATACACATACAATTGCAGTCCCTATCGTAACGTAACTTACGCGATGCACCATTAAAGCGGAGTATAAGATGTGTAATTCTTTGCATTTTAATAAAATTTGATAACATTAGACGTCAATTAAAAAGCTTAATACAGCTAGACGAAGAAATGTGCATATTGTTCTAATTGAAGGATATTGTGATGTATTTTTTAATATGAAAGATCTTAAAATGTTTATTTCTAGGTCCAAGAATTACCTAAGTGCCCCTTAAGTCTTCCGTAAAAAAAAATATTTATTGAATACGTAGCGTAGTTAAGTGTTTTCGCAAAAACTGTTTAGATACGGATATTCATTATAAATATTTTATATGGCTCTTAAGGTATAAATATATTATGTAAACACCAGATGCAGAAGAAACACAAAATTTATTTAAATAATAACAAAATAGGTTGAATTCAATTGACTATTTTGCTTACACTGAGCTTAATTCCACACTGTCAAGCAATTGTGTATTCCAATTTGGGTGAGGGGAGGAATAAGTTGCACAGATCTATCTTACTGTCCAAGTTGGGTTTAAACGATCGATAAATACCAAACTTCGAGAAAGAAAATTGCATAAGTATCAAAAAGTAGGCATGTTAAAAATATTGAAGTATGAATTGAAAGAAACGTATTGCTGAGCCTAAAAGGATATGTGGTTACGTGTAAAACGACTTCTTGAACTATAAGACTCGAGAGATCGTTGTTATACTAAAATTTCTATAGGTGTATAATAATCCAGTAAAACATAAGTTAACAAACAGCGATAGTTACAGCAGTTTTTCTGATTTTATCAAATTTGCTTATGGATAATGATGCGACGAATTTAGCTATATTTCCTTTAAACGTCATCAACCTAACGAAATATAAAGAAACAACACTATATAGTCAATTCTTTATAAAATATTATTATATTAAAACCACAGCAGCGGCAAATGATTAAGTGCCGTGTGGAACAACAGGTTTTGTTACCAGTTATATTTTATTTAAACGACACCGTTTGAATATTTATACAGAATCTCTTGGAAAGGCGGAAGCTCCAAGCTGAAGTGGAATTAGTAGCGCGAGAAAAAGCTGCTGCCCAGCACGAGGCCAAACAGCTTCGTGAAGAGCTTGACCATATTCGTTCACAGTGTGAAGAAACAAAGTGGAAACTATGTCAGAAAGCTGGAGAAATATCTCTTCTAAAGTCTCAGTTGAAAGACTATCAAGTGGGAGAGAATAACCGATTAACGGAGCTTTTATCTTTGAAGTCTCAAGTGAAAGAAACTCGCCATCTGGTGGAAGGAAAAGAAGATAAAATTGTTGAATTACAGACCTGTCTTCAAAACAGCGAAGAAGAAGCTTATCATTCTAAACAAAAACTCGAACAATTATTACAGAGAATGAAAACACAGACGCAAGCAGCAAAAGAACATGCACAAGCAAAATCTATTGAAGAACTGATTAAAGAAACGGAATCACTTCGTTTAGAACTATCATTATCTAAACAAGAACTTCATGAAACCAAAGAAAACATTGAAGAAGAAAAAATGCAGTGGTTGGAAGAAAAAGAAAAGGTGATAAAATATCAGAAACAACTACAGTTAAACTATGTACAGATGTACAGAAGAAATAGGTTTCTCGAATCTGAAGTAGAAAAACTTAAGGGTGAACTTTCAGAGAAAAGGACTAACAAGGCTTTAAAAGGAGAGTCTAACTGCTGACAAGAACATGTTTTTTTCTTAACGCTCTGTAATAAGTAATAAAAAGTTGTATCTTTTTTTAATTAAATGAAGTAAGTTATTTGTAAGTATTGTACAAAAACAAATAATTTGTTTTGGGAATTTATTATTAAAGTTTGTGTCAAAAACTTGTTTTAAATAACTAAGGTTAAACTTATTTTTAAAATGTAACATAACTGTGATATTGTTGTTGCATTCATATGCATATAAAATATAAAACTATTTTGTAATGAAACAATTACTGAAAGCTCATATGCTTAGAAAAGTAAAATTGACAATTCATTAAAATATGCTGGCGAAAGAATTAGGTTTTGTCTGAAGTTTTAATTAAAGTAGAAATAGTGAAAATAAAATTTTTCAATATGCAAGGTTAACAAACACTTTGTTTTGAAAGACTTAGTTTGAAATCTTGTTTGAGTTTTGACTGTGTTTGGATTTTCTCCTATTAAGATTTTTTCTTTAATGACTAAAACCACTCGGAGCCTTAACAATATTTTGATAACGAAATATTGGATAAATTATCAAAAATGTTGGGTTTTATGGTGTTATTTGCTAACCTTGCCATTTAGAAGTTTATAAAAGCAAATTTAGGATGAATAAATGAAATATGTAGTTTTGTGGTGGTTATGTTTGCTTCAACCATGTTATAGTCATTCCAATAAATAGCATTAATGTTATTTTTAATTCTGGAGTGATTTTGTCTTATGAGTTCAATACCAAACAAACGTATAAAGTTTTTATGATGATGGAATGAAGTTATTATCAATTTATTTGCTATTTTTAGTATTCTATAGATCTATATTTTTTACGTTTGAAGTAAAACGTTAGGATTTGTTTTACGTATATACTTTTATTTTGAAAGTTTTGGAAGTAAGCGTTGCTTTTGAAAATACTTCTTTTTCTCAAATGTTTTAAACCAAAATTTTCGTAAGAAACTAAAGGAAAATTTGAATTCTAGTGATTTCTTAAAGATTTGGAAACAGTGAGAACATACAGCGCTTTTATACGTGGTTTAGACGTTCTTAAAAAGTTTCCAGTCTTACGGAAACAAAATGATGTTTAAAATACTTTAAAAGCAAAAGTGTAAATTTTCGTTTTTAGCGGATACTGGCAGAACCAAATCATGGTTCATTGTTACTGGATACTAAGATTGCAATAAAACTTCTGATTGTTGTCGTTGTGATTTGTAACTTTTTCGCATTGTGTTTCTTTATTATAATGCTAGTAAAATCACCAAAATATCACTTATATTTATTACTTGTTTATATATATATATATATATATATATGAATAAACCATAACCCGAGCGCTCTCGAAAGGTGGACTTTTATTCTTCTCCAGGGAAAGAAGAAGAAAGGTCCACCTTT